TTCAATTTTCTTATCAATGTCTTCACTATTTTCTTTGCACACTTTGACAAGGGTCTCCCAGTTCTTTAAATAAGATTCAATAGAATCTGTCATTGTGTTCCATCGTGTGTCTGATGGCATTACTAGCATTGTTCTTCCTGCTCTTCTATACAAAGATCCTGGGATGTGATGATTTCTGAAATACTTAATGATTTCAGTAATGCGCTCCTTAATGTTCTTGATTTGCAGGTCTTGTGAAAGCAAATTTAACAGGTGTGCAGAGCAACCATATGTTATAATGGATTTATCTTGTCCGAATTCACTTCTCATTTTTGCCATATTAGCAGCATTATCTGTTACACAGCTTCTTACTGTGCATCCAAATTTGTCTTCACACTTTTTTGTAGCACATTCAGCTAATTTCAACAGATATTCAGCTGTGTGTCTTGATTCTGTGTCTATATTGTCAACAAGATAAATACGGTTGTCCGCTGTTAAAGTTATACATACTATAGGCTCATTATGGACATTACTCCATCCATCCATGGCCATGCAAACTGTTTTCCCACTAAGTTCTTCTGAATAATTCTGAATCACTGAATCGTAGGCTTGATCCAAAAGAGACCCTCCAATTTGATGTCTATTAGGTGGAACATATCCTGGTCTTAGCATTTCAATCATCTTGATAAACTCTTCGTGCTCCACTGTTCGGAAGGGTGAATTTGTTGCATATATATAATTAGCAACTTGCTGATCCAAAGTGACTTTTTCAGACTTAGTAGTTTTTATCACAAAACCAGCTATGCTTCTTTGTTCCATAGAATTATCCCTCTTATCTCTCTTAAATGGTGAGGGAGAAGGAGCATCTGATATATCTTTAACTAGAGATGATGATGATGAAGCTTTTGAAAGTGAGGTGCTTGGATGAGGTGATGAGAAAACAGTTATTAGTAAAAAAATCATTTTGATTTAAATCATGATATTTTTACTTTGATTTAAATCGATTTAAATCATGTGATTTAAATCATTTGATTTAAATCATAACAACCCTGCTAAATGGTAACCCGACAAAATTTGGTTTAAAAAAATTAAATTACGGCTCGGAGGGCGCTTTTGGGATTCTAATAAGTAACCCGAATGTTTAAAAAAAATGGCCATCTGTATGTAGGGACACCTGTCGTGGTATTGTAGTGGACTTCTCCCCTACAACTGCGTATCCGCATTCCAATGCGACAGTATCCTAGCAACCAAGCGAGCGGCGTCACCAGATGTTACCACCTTCCATAGCAACGGAACTAAAGACCGGCGACTTTCTCGGGTTTTTCCAACGTGACTCATAGAGGACTCACGGCTGCTGGGTATATAAGCTCTGTCTCTCCATTGAGATTCATTCTGGTCTCTCTTCTTGAACAAGCAACACCTCCTCCTCCGCCGCTGCCTGGCGGCCCTCGCTTCTCCTCGCCTGCCTGGCGGTCCTCGCTCCCGCCAGCGAGCATGGCGACCCACCAGCTGTCCTTCTCTGAGCTTCCTCACCAACCAACTTTCATTCTGGCCTCACTTCTACAACACGCAACACTCCAGCAAGCTCCACGCTGTCCAACTTTCATTCAACCAGGAGACCAGCAACAGGCAACATCTTCTCTAACGAAGCTCCTGCACATCCACCTCCTTCAACACGCTACTCACCGAACGTCTCTACTGAGCAGCTCCTCACCACACGGCACCTCCAGCACCAGACTGTCTATCATATAACTTATATTATACAAGAAAACCACCTTAGAGTTTCCATCCATCCTGAGTGCTAGACAACATTATACCACGAATTCCTACAAATGGTGACCCCGGAGATAAGCACTCACACAGGATGAAGGAGACACTGATCACGCTCCCGGTCTTCAAGCAGCATAGAAGACTGGCTTATCCACACAGAAGCAGCTCTGCTACTCTAAGCAGACACCAGCTCCTCTTCCTGCCCCAAGCGCCACATCCTACCGACCCCAGCACACCCGTCCTGCCTCAGACGCCGACCCCGGCCCAGCAGTAACCCCTGACGCGGCCTCTGTTCCTGAATCCGGACCCACACACACCCCTCTTTTCTCCCTCAGGTACTCCCTGCTAATGTCCTGCACCCTGCTGCTGTCGTGGACCCAGCTGCTGTCACGAGCCCTAATCCGCTTCTGCTGACGCAGCCCCTGCTCCTGACCCAGGCCCACACACCCCAGCAGGCGCATCTGACGACTCAGTACCTGCCGTGAGGGAAGCACACAACATTCATCGCCTCCACACACCCTCTTTTCTCCCTCAGGTACTCCCTGCTAATGTCCTGCACCCTGCTGCTGTCGTGGACCCAGCTGCTGTCAGAGCCCTAATCCGCTTCTGCTGACGCAGCCCCTGCTCCTGACCCAGGCCCACACACACCCCAGCAGGCGCATCTGACTACCCTGTACCTGTCATGAGGGAAGCACAACATTCATCGCCTCCACACACCCTTTTTCTCCCTTCTCCCACAGATAGTATGTATCTAGACAGTTGTATTTCAGCGATCGGCTCATTCACGCCATCGCCGTTGTCTCACATGAGGCATGCACCGCCCGGTCTGCCTCACATGTGCTAAGCAACTCTACAGACAACAAGTCTCCTACACCGCCTGGAGGGAAGGGGGAGTGTTGTAGTGGACTTCTCCCCTACAACTGCGTATCCGCATTCCGATGCTACCGTATCCTAGCAACCAAACGAGCGGCGTCACCAGATGTTACCACCTTCCCTAGCAATGAACCAAAGACCGGCGACTT